TCACTTTACTTGGATTTATCACTTTACTTGGATTTTCACTTTACTTGGATTTTCACTTTATTTGGATTTTCACTTTATTTGGATTTAGTTTTTACACATGCATTGATATACGTACTGATATAGATACAGAAGAGCTATATGTGTATATATTTTATCTCTTATTATTATTATTTTTTTAACTTTATTATATTGTATAGTTGGATGTGTGTATATATTATATAAAACTGTAACTGGAGCGTGTAACAAAAGTAATTTCCCTTTGGAATTATTAAAGTATTTCTGATTCTGATGATTGGAGAAAGCAAACAACATCTCCACAGACCCATGGCCCAACACAGAAGAGCGCCCTCCTCTGGACAAGACTCTGCGCTACATCTACACCTGATGGACAAAGGACATTCTTTGGAGGACCAGAATGTTCACATTTTGGACAAAGAAGACAGGTGGTTTGAGAGGGACGTGAAGGAAGCCATCTATGTTGAGAACTCAATGCTATTTCTGACATTTTGAATTGAAAATGCCTCCAGGATGGGAAGAGAAACATCTTCAAACTTGGAAACAAAGTCCAGTGAAGTTTTTTTTACTTTGTTGGAAGCAGCAGTAGATATTCCCTCCATGCCAGAAGGAAAAAAAATATCAAAAAGCTGATTTCACACAGAGAAACAGAGACTTATGTTCATTTCACTATTCAAGAGTCCTGCATGTTTCAGGACATTTTTCACTCAATTACACAATAAAACGCATTTAGATATTAAACTCCATATTAGTTCAAGTGGTTTTTATCACATTCCATTAACATCTAATTTGCACATCTAAACCCAAACTCCTCTCAGTCACGAGTAGCATTACTATGACCTTTGTGAAATCACTCAGTCTCACATTTTCCACTGCAGCCGCGTCAAAATAAACGGTTAAAGCTTTGATATGCTGAGGAAGCTGCCTGCATGGTGGGAAACAGTTTCAGGCTCAGGTTCCTCTGATGCCTGAGAGATAAAACCATGAAAAGGCCATCTCACATGCAGACGGCTGTTCAAGATCATATAATCCGCCTTTAATCTGATGTTCTACCTTAAATCGATTCCTCGAGTATCAGACACAAACACCAATCCTGATTTCTGATGTTCCTCGCATTGAAAGGGTCCATTTGGGTTTTTTTCTGGAGGGATTCTGTGAGGCAACCGACGGGCATTTAAAAAAGAAAAAACTGGAGATTGGAATCCTGTTTCTATGGAAAATTAAGCTTTTTTATGGGGTAAGATAACTGTCAATAAAACTGGTGGATTAAGGTTAAAGTTTAATGTATTTCAAAAAGTAATTAATTGAGCATCTAATTTCTACAAGAAGTTTAGAAATGGTTGGATTTTTTTAGATTGGAGAAGCAAAAGGCGGGTCTTTGAAAGTCTTTCTAAATATAACTGGATTAGTAGTAAATTTAGAAACTCAGATGTTTTTCATTTTAATTTTAGAAAATAAACGATAAACAGGATGAAAATGTGATTCAGGCTGATGTTTATACTAATTGTGTTTTTGTTTTTTCGTTAACATCCTTTCATTCCCAGTGGAATGAAAGGAACAATTTGTCGGGGCCTTTCGGGGAACGTTTGGATAAACGGATCCATCAGAGCTGCTCCTGATGGATCCAAACATGGTCAGCCCTGCTCATCCTCAGGCTGTGTTCGCAGCTGATGTTTTCAGCGATGACACATCTCTGAGCAGAAGAAGTCATGCCACAGTCAAAACGTTTTCAGAAACACAAAAATAGATCCCACTCTGCAGAAATGTTGTAGAGCAGCAGCGGCTCATTGTACTTTTCCACTCGGATGAATCCGGCTCCTTACCGCAGGAAAGATCTAAATTTTTAAACTAAGGACCCTAAGCTGTGTTCTCATATCCAGTCGGACTCTTCGGCTGCTGCACACGGTGTCTGAGAAAAGCATGGCGGCACGTGAAGAAAGTTTACTGCAGCAAAGGGGAAAAACTCTCCATTAATAAGTCACTGTGACAAGACATGGTACCAGGACAAACTGCAGAACTTTAAAGTTTAAAGAACTTTAAAGGATCACGGGACTTAAAACTGACTCCCCCTTACATGTC